GCTGGAGAGATGGCTCAGAGGTTAAGAGCACTGCCTGCTCTTCCAAAGGTCCTGAGTTCAATTCCCAGCAACCACATGGTGGCTCACAACCATCTGTAATGATATCTGGTGCCCTCTTCTGGCCTGCAGGCATACACACAGACAGAATATTGTATACATAATAAATAAATAAATATTTAAAAAAATAAATACATAAATAAAATATGGGGTAGACATGTCTCTTACATCTATAATCCCAGTATTCAGGAGGCCTGGACAGAAGTTTGAGACCAGTTTAGGATGCATAAGGAGCCCAAAGGCTAATCTGAGATACACAGTGAAACACTCTCAACAGACTCCGTCCAACCAAAATAATAAAAGGTGCTTGCCACCAAGTCGAATGGCCTGAATTCAATCACCAGGACCCACAGAGTGGAAACAAAACACCTAAAACACTTCCCTCTAGACTACACACACACACACACCATACACTCACATGCATACATGCTGAATAAGCAAAGGTACAAAAAGTAAAATAGCTGGGGAGATGGCTCAGTAGCCGAGAGTGTGTCCTGCAGAGGTCTTCTTGCAAAGAATCAGGGCCCCTAGCATTCACACTGAGTAACCCACGGCTGCCTATAATTCTAGCCCCATGGACTCTGACGCCCTCTTCTGGACTGCACAGGCACCTACACTCACATGCACATATCCTCACACACACACTTAATTTTTCAAGATTTCAGATTCTTTGATGCTAGAGGTTAGGTGATGGGAGGAAAACGCCAGGCCTGGATGGGCAGGCCTGTAGTCCCAGCACACAGAAGGATCAGTCTTAGGCTAAATAGAGAGTACTAAGCCATTCAGGAATGTAAAGCAAGATCATGTTTCAAAAATAAATAAATAAATAAATAAATAAAAACTCAATGGTGGGCTGGAGCCATAGCTTGGTGGTTACGAACCCATGTGCTTACGGAAGGTTTGAGTTTGGTTTCCAGCACTCATACACTCATATATATAAATCTCGAAAAGTAAAAGAGCCAGGCATTCCGACTACGCCTACAATTCCAAACTTGGGGGGGGGGGGGCAAGAGGATCAAGAGTTCAAGGTCATTTTCACCTACATAGTCAGTTCAAGGCCAGCCTGGGATACATGAGACCCTGCCCCCAAATAGTTTTTTCTCTTTAAAATAATGATATGTATAGGTGTTTTTCTTGCATGGGTGTCTGTGCATCACATGGACAGAAGAGGGTTGGATTCCCTAGGATGAGTTACAAAGGGTCATGCATGATGCACCGCCTTGCATGAACTGAACAGTTGGTACTCTTTACTGCTGAACCATCTCTTCTGCCCTAAAGACAGGGTTTCTCTGTATAACAGCTCTGGCTGCCATGGAACTTGCTCTGTAGACCAGGCTGGCCTCAAACTCGCTCTGTAGACCAGGCTAGCCATGAACTCACAGACGTCCGCTTGAGTTGTACAACAGCATGAGCCACATAGCCAGACCTTTTCGAAAACCCAAGAACTTGTGTTGTGGCTTTAATCCCAACACATGGGAGGCAGAGGCAGGCGAATCTCTTTGAGTTCAAGAGTAGCCTGGTCTACAGAGTGAGTTCCGGGACAGCCAGAGCCAAAGACAGAAACCCTGTCTCAAAAAAACAAAAAATAAATAGAAGAAATACAAAGACTAGAATGTAGCTCAGTAGTCAAATATCTTGTCTGCTGTACAGAAGGCCCTGGGTTCAATTGCCAGCAAAGCAGGGGAGGAGATTTGGGAAAATACCAACTCCAGTACTTGGTAATCAGTTGAATCGATGTGAGCAGCAAGGAAACAGACAAGAAGCTGCAGGGCTTCTGGCGTGCACAGTTGGGCACATGCTTCTCCTGCAGATGCTTCTAACTTCCTCTACCACGCGATCCTTATCACAGAGGGGTTTAATTGTACGAGAGGGCAATGGCCCAGATTTATCACCACAATCAGCATGGTCCCGCCTAGCCTAAGTGTTAGCAAGGATTCAATAGATATTTTTTTTGGATTTAAGTCTGGCAGCTGAATGCTGGAGAAAAAGATTTGTAGGGAAGGTTGATGTGGACACTTCGGTAGGTACTGAATTTGTTGTAGAAGACTTGCAGAGTGCTTCGGTGGATGGTGGATAAGGCCAGACTCCAGAGGAAGATCTGGACTGGAGATACAGTGCTTAGCAGGACACAGAGGCCATTTGAGAGTCCGATCACTGAGTGAGCGACTCAAAGCGCAAAAGACACAGCTCAGATGGGTTTTTGTGGTTTAAGGAGCAGGCAGAGGAAGACTCCCGCAAAGAAGTAACCACCAGAAGAGGAACCGGGAAGGACACCAGCAGGGGAAGGGGCAGTTGGGTCGCATGCCACAGAATGTCACACAGCTTAAGGATTAGGAAGTGCTTGCAAGGACTGGGGTGTACTTGGGAAAGTGGAGACGTGAGGGATAGGAAATGAAGATGGCTTTGTGTGGTCGCCTTTGAGAAGTTCGAGGGAGGGTTGGGGAGACAGGTCTGCCTTGTTCTGCTCTGCTTTTTGAGCCGAGCTTTGACTAAATAGCTCAGACTGGCCTTCAGCTCCGCGTTCCTCTCTCAGCCTCTCAAATGCTGCTGGATACAGGATGAATCCCTGTTAAGTTGGGAGCATAGACCCCAGCCCCTCGCATCCATCCCAGCCCCCAGGCCTGGGCGTTGCTTTGGTCTGGACTACAAATCCCAGCATGCCAGGTCCTGACCCCCTCCCCGGGGGAGAGTCAGGACCACTCACACAAGGTATTTATTTGAGCTCCCAAAGGAGAAACACCTGGTCTCTTTTCTTTCCTCCTGGTGGTCAAGTTCACAGCCTCCCAGTTTCCCCTCGGGGCCACCCGAGAGCACAGGAATCCCATTAAACCTGGATATTTTTTAATTTGGCTTGTTGCGATTTGGCTTGATTAGCAGAGAGCTCACTTTAGGAAAAATTCCTAACAATCCCCAGTAGGTCACTGATAACCTGAAAACCTCCAGGAAGGAAATGTTTATAAAGAAGAAACTTGGGAAAGTTTCAAGGGGGATAAAAATCAGAGGTTAAGAGCACTGCTCCTTCCAGAGGACCCGGGTTTGGTTCCCAGCACCCACACGGCAGCTCACAACTGGTCTACCAAGCGAGTTCTAAGACAGCCAGGAAGGCACAGGAAATCCTGTCTCTGGAGGAAGAAAAAACTAAGAGCCTGGCTATCCTTCTAGAGGACCTGAGTTCAATTCCCAGCACGCACATGACAGCTCACAGCCACCTGAAACCCCAGATCCAGGGTATCCAACACCCTCTTCTGGCTCCTCAAGCACCAGACATTTGGATGGTGCACAGAGTGCACAGACAGACATGCAGACAAAACACTCAGATAACACAAAAATGTAATTAATAGAACCCCACAATAAACCTGAGAACCCGCCCAAAAGGCTGATGCAGAGGCTCATATCCCCCAAATGTGTCCTAGGTGATGTGAACCCCTCTTTCTCTTAGCCCCTTTCTCTTTCCCTCTCATTCGTTCTTACAGTTTTTCTGTCTGTCTGTCTGTCTGTCTGTCTGAACAGGAAACACAAAGGTTTAAGTCTGAGGCAGTTGGTCATAGAAACAACAAGGCCTGTGCAAACTTAATAAAGGTCACAAGTCATAACCTTTCCTTAGTCATTCTCCCTCGTACTTTCTCCTGTGTTCCTCTCGGTTTTTCCATGTCTAGCTCAGAACTCCCACCAGCACCCAGGACCAATTCTTTCTGCCCCTGAAACTTCTGGTGACCTCCACAAGGTATCTAAAGGAAAAAATTACCGAGCTCGGTCATCTTTTCTGATTTCCTGCCTTGCCAGCCACCAAGGTCTACTGACCACATCCTCTCTCACCTTGTTTATATACACTTCCTCATCAGACACACCACGCAGGAGGTCTCAGTCCCCAAACTGTGCTGATCTCTCCCACACAGGGCTTCTCTCTAGTCTCCTCCTTCCTTGTCTCTCCACGGCTCCTGTCCTCACTCATCCAAGACACACACACACACACACACACACACACACACACAGCTCTAAGAGCCATGTCCCTCTGTGTGGAGGCACCCAGTCCTATTTCCTTCTGGAACTTCAACTCTCCTTTTTCCCATAGGTGACAGTGCTGACCACAATGCTCTCAGGCCGGTGGTGGCCAAGTATCTGGGGAAATCTTGGAGTGAGTCTACAAAGCCCTTCTCAGGGACCCCAGCTCTGCGTCCTCTATCCCTTCACTTATACCGGGGCAGATGGCCGGGAGGTGTCTCTGGCTGAAGGTGACAGGTTCCAACTGCTTCGAAAGACCAACTCGGACTGGTGGTTGGCAAGGCGCCTAGGAGTATCCTCCTGGTCCAGGCCCATCTTTGTTCCAGCTGCGTATATGACCGAGGAATCACTCTCCTGCCCCAGACCAGCAGACTCTACCCACAATGCATCCCTCTGGAGTCCTGGTAAGAAAACTCCAAGCTTTCCCCTTCCTGCCTCCCTGGCTTGAGAGAGTTACCTAGTGGGTTTGCCTCTCGCTTCTGGTGACACCTCTGTCTCGCTTTCCTTAGATAAGACTCGCTGTTCTCACATCCACCATGGTGGTATCACCTTTTATCCCTCCTAGCTCTAAGCTGGTTAGGTCTCAAGTCATTTCCGGTAGCTTTCCTCTGTATTCCTTGACAACTCAGCCGAGGCCCTATCTGCCATCACTCCTCCACGTCTCTTTTCAGGGACAAAGATGTTTCATGGCTCCCTGGAGGAACTCTACCTGTCTCAGGAAACCCAGGTTACTGCTGAGCAACCTCCTCCCTGTTCCCGCAAAATGTGCAGAAGTGTCAGCATGGCCTATTTGAAACCCTGCTTCCTGAAACCCCTCAGGGAAGGGCCAAGAGAAAGATCTCTCCCCCAGGAAGGCTCCATGACAGAGGCCAGTACCGACACGGTGAGTCACAGATCTTCACCAGAGCACAGTCCGTGGTCAGTTACACTACCATGAGGCCCTGTTTTGGGTACAGAGGTAAAGGAGACAGACATTGTCCTCCCTTAAAGGACTGAGGGTGGGAGAGGGTGGCATTAAATCAGCCTGATAAATAAAGAAGATACTGAGGTGGTCGGAAAAGACCCTGCCTGTGGAGAAAGAGAGGCTACAAGCAAAGTAGGGGTGAGGAAGGACAGCAAAAGACACAGGCCCTGAGGAGATGTGAGCCCTTCCCAACAGCAGGAGGCCAACTGACTGCTTTTCCTCTGCTTCTGACTCCTAGCCCAGGGCAAGGTTTGTCCTCTGTCCTGCCTGGGCTACAGGCAAGTTCCTCTAAAGTTATAGCTCTCTTGTCCATCCCTTCCCCCTCCTTCTCTTTTGTCAGTTGTATTTTGAGCCAGGGTCTCACTCTGTAGTAGGCCCAGATGAGCTGGACTCTTTAGGTAGGCCAGATTGACCTCAAACTCCTATAATCCTCCTGCCTCAGCCTCCCAAATGTTAGGGTTACAAGCCTGGCTCCCCCCCCTCCTTGTCGGCTGCTGATAAGTCCTTTCTCTCATCCTCCCCTGGCGTGGCCCCTCACCTCTTGCTGTCTTTTCCTCTGAATGGTGTGAGGAGGGGGCACTTTCTCTTCCCCACCCCACCCCCCAAAAAGCCTGTTCCCCTTTCCTGCAGCCCTGGGGCGGGGTTGCGTGGGGGAGGAGGGAAGTTGGCAACAGGAAGTGCGGAGAAGAGCAAAGAAGGCTGTGAGGGGAGAATTTTTAAAAAACAGCCAGGGACTGGGGTTTCTAGCCCTGTACCAGGGTCACCCTGGCCCGGAGCCAAAGGTGAGTAAATGGGAGAGCGGTTGGGAGGGACGGGGCAGCACCCACCTCCTCTTCCCCACTTCCCTGGCAGGCAGGATCCCAGCCCCTCCTGTCAGAGCTCCCTGTGTCTTGTAATCTGGTTGGCCTTCTCTGATGTCCAGGGTCTCTGTCCCGAAGAACTTGGATCTCCCATCCCCCCCCCCCCGTCCCCGCCCCCAAGGCTAGATGCCTGGGAGCAGCTTCGGCTGGACTGACCAACGCCGAAATTCTTAGGAGAAAGGCTGGGTCTCTTCCTTCAGCTAAAAGACCACTGAGACACGGACCCCAAGGGATTAGAATTGCCCCGGGAGTCTTATGCTGGGGAAGTAAACTGCTGGGGTCCTGATACCAGCCAGAGAAGGAACTTGTCTCCCAGGAGGACAGGTTACACTTTTCCCACAGCTTGTCAAGTCCTCATCAGCGTCCGAGAACGGAGCTGAGACACAGATAGGCAAGGACCACACTGCTTAGTAACAATTACCTCCTCCCCCGCCTCATCCCACCCCACCCCCGCACCCAAGACAAGGTTTCTCTGTGTAGCTCTGACTGTCCTGGGACTCACTCTAGACCAGGCTGGCCTCAAACTCACAGAGATCCACCTGCCTTTGACTCCCAAGTTGGAATTAAAGGTGTGCACCCCCATGCCTGGCTTTATAATTATCTCCTGTCCTCTATCCAAACCTAAACCTCATGTTAGACCCCAAAAGCAGCATTGGAGATAATCAAATTTATTTATATGAGTGATCCACTTCTCAATAAATAAATAAATAAATAATTTTATGTGTATGGGTGTTTTGCCAGCATGTATGTCTGTGTACCACCATGCATGCAGTGCCCACAGAGACCAGAAGTGGGCGTCAGACCTCCTGGAAGTGGACCAGCTGCACTCCCCCTTCCCACCCCTCCAGAAGGCAGTCAGTGCTCTTAACCACTGAGCCATCTCTGTAGCCCCAGATAAATTATTCTCTGTCCTTTAGCATTGTCGCTTTGATTGATTACTGGGGACAAGTGGCAGAGCTTAGATTGTTAGAGCTGCCAGGACACCGGCTTTGGCTGTCACTAACAACCCCTGTAACTTAGATCCCACTAAGACGCCTCTCCTGTGCCATGCCACAGTCATATTCAAGACACCTGTCCTCCTCCGCGTCCCCTTGTCCCTTCAAAACCCCTCTTCCCCATTTCTCTCTGGGGCTCTCAGGTCAGAAGAAAGAAAACACAGTGAGAATTGCTGAACTGTTGAGGTACCATCTGGATGTTACTTTGTCTCCCCTAAACCCAGAAACCGGGCTCCATGGAGCAGACAGAGACTCTGATTAGGAACAGTGGGGCCTCGCAACCTCAGGAATGGCTTGATGGACAGGTGAGAACACCCCATTGTCTCAGCGTCCAGGTTAACTTTTTAAGACTCTCCCCTTAGGCAAGGCGTTCTCCATTGCCACTGTAACGTTGCCCTTTCTCACAGCCACACCCCTCTTCCTCCTGCAACCTGGGACCACCAGATTGAATGTCCTCTTTCAATGCCCCATCCTTAGGGTTTACCAAGCCTCAGCCGGAGCAGGAGCAGCCCCTGGGGAGACCTGCCAGACCAGCCAGCAGCCCTGCATTCCTGTCAGCCACAGCTGGATGACCCCCACGTGAGTCTTTCCTGTCTCTCAAAGCCCAGAACCTCTCTGCACCTGTCTTCTGCTCCTTGAAAATAACATTCTTCTTTCTGGGTGTTTGCTCTTCTTCAGTCACCCCCACCCCCAAACTTTAACAGGCCTCACCCCTTAGAGAGAACCCTTGAGGGCTGTGGGTGACACAGGGTGGCTAACAAGCAATAACCCATGTCTTTCCCAGGAGGAAAAGTCAGGTCTGATCAACATGACCAAGATTGCTCAAGGAGGGCGCAAACTCAGGTGAGGACCCAGAATATGTCAGGGGTCTAGGCTATTGGGTTTCACAGGGTAGAAAGCACTACAGGTGAAACTCTAAAATGACCTTTTAACTACTTCTACTCCTCCCTTCCCCCACAGGAAGAACTGGGGCCCGGCTTGGGTGGTGTTAACTGGTAACAGCCTTGTGTTCTACCGAGAGCGGCCGCCGCAGTCTGCGCCGTCCCAAGGCTGGGTGAGCATCGGCCAGGGGGAGCAGCAAGGGTTTGGGGGTTACTGGTTTGCGCTTCGGGTCAACAGACGGGGGAGGCAAGGAAAGAAATGGAGGAGAAGGTAAAGGAAGGCGGAAGCAGCTCACCGCCACCACCCCAGAGGGAAGCGGTGAGGAAACAGACTCAGCCTCAGTTTCTCCCGTCATCGCCAGGCGCCGGCAGGGAGCCGGCCGGAAAGCAGCGTGGACCTGCGCGGGGCGGCCCTGGCTAACGGGCGCCACCTGTCCAGCCGCCGCAACGTCCTGCACGTAAGTGCCGTCTCGCGCGGCCCCAAAGATTTGGGGGACGGAGTGGACGTGGTGACCAGAGGACGCTCTCGACCTCACAGCGTTCTAGGCTCTCCTCGCTGACGCGAGCCTTTCCCGCCCGATCCCCAGATCCGGACGGTCCCCGGCCATGAGTTCCTGCTGCAGTCGGACGAGGAGCCCGAGCTGCGAGCCTGGCATCGCGCGCTGCGGGCAGTCATCGAGCGTCTGGTTAGAAGGGTGCAGAACCCTGAAGGCACCCTGGAGGCTAGACCCGGGAAAGGGAGGGACAAAGAGAAGGGCTGTGGGAACCAGAAGGTCTCGGGTGGAGTCCTGACCTTGAGTCAGGCTGGAATGTGGGGGTGCCGATGCTCTCCCTTCCATCCCTCCCACCCTGGCTGCCCGGGTATAGGATCGGGAGAACCCCCTAGAGTTGCGTCTGTCCGGCTCGGGACCCGCAGAGCTGGCAGAGCTGAGCGCTGGTGAGGATGACGAGTTGGAGTCAGAGCCGGTGTCCAAGCCACTGCTAAGGCTTAGCAGCCGCAGGATTTCCAGTACGAAGTGGGACTGAGCTGGCCGGGCTGGGTTGCAGGGAATCGTCCTCCGCTGGAGCTCACACTTCTTGGTTTGGCAGGTCGGGGTGCCGAGGGCACTGAGCAGAAAAACCGCGTGCGGAACAAGTTAAAGCGGCTGATCGCCAAGAGACCAACCTTGCAGAGCCTTCAGGAGCGGGGCCTGCTCCGAGGTAGGCTGGGCTGGACCAGTGGGGCACTGCTCTTTGTGCCAGCCTTACTAGTGTTTCTGTTTTGTGTAGGTTTCGGTTTTCAGATTTTATTGTTGTTGATATATACTCTCAGTATTTATCCCCGGGTTTTCCTCAAATTTGGGCACTCCTCCTGCCTCAGCCTCCCAAGTGTCTGGGATTACAGGTGAGAGGCACCATGCTGAGTAGCGGCTGGTGTCTTTAAGCTCAGCACTCAGGGGGATCTCTGAGTTCCAGGACAGCCAGGACTACAGTCTTAGCATTAATAAAAACTCTAGTGAGGCTCAAAGTAGAGCTTCCAGACCCAGGTTAGAGTCTACTGACACTCCGGCTTCTCCCCCATTCCTCATTATTTGAGGAGCAGAGGAAGGGCGTCCTTGCCCCCACGTGGCAGCAGACCCAGGCTTACGTGGATAGTGCGACCTTTACTGATCCACCCCCTCCTCTGCAGACCAAGTGTTCGGTTGCCAGTTGGAATCGCTGTGCCAAAGGGAAGGGGACACCGTGCCCAGCTTTGTCCGGCTCTGTGTTGAGGCTGTGGATAAAAAAGGTTGTGTTTCCCAAACTCCAAAAATCTCCCCTTTCAAGCCCTAGGACCCAGTCGCCCCATCTCTGCCTTCCTCCTGACTCCTTTCTCCCTCACATCCCTCACTTAAACACTTTTCGAGTTCTCATCTTCCCTATCCCTCTTCTCCTAGGTCTGGATGTGGACGGCATTTACCGTGTGAGCGGGAACCTGGCAGTGGTCCAGAAACTGCGCTTCCTGGTAGACAGAGGTGAGAGGACTTGGGAGGAAGTAATGAATCGAAGAATTGGGTACCTCAGAACCAAGAGCGGTTCTGAGGGAGGGAGTCAGAACTGCATGTCTCAGCTACTGGTCTCTTCTCGTGCTTGTTACAGAACGGGCAGTCACCTCTGATGGGAGATACATGTTTCCAGAACAGCCGGGACAAGGTACTTACACCTCAGACTCTCAAAAAGCTGACCAATGCCCTCTTTGTATCCCACGGAATTCCCCCATGTCCCGCCCCAACAAACACTGTCCCCGTTGTTACCATGCCCTACTATGGGCCATCATCACATTCTTGTGACATGTTTTGATTAGATTTCCCCCCAAATTCCTGATCTTTGAGTCCGGAACCCAAGGAACTTATTTTTCCTTCTAGAAGGCAAATTAGATTTAGACAGTGCGGAATGGGATGACATTCATGTGATCACTGGGGCCTTGAAGCTTTTTTTACGGGAGCTGCCAGAGCCTCTGATGCCTCCACCATTGCTGCCTCATTTTCGTGATGCCCTCGGTAAGGGTCAAGAGCTTCGGTGATCCTCCTGCCATGGGAGGACCTGTGCAGTAGAGACTAGAACAGAGGGTCCCTTCCGTCTTCCTCTGCGAGGATGGGAAATAATTACATGCCAACTCTAGGGATGGGGGAATATGTGTGTGAATGTTTAGAGGATCGAGCTGGGAAGAACTCTGAAAGTTGCAGGTGAGCTACAGGAAAGAGCGGAGCCCTACAGCTCGGCAGTAAGTTGTGTGCTTATTGTATGCAATGCCCTGGGTTGAATCTCTTGTACCAAAGTGCAGAGAGGAGAGCACGAGACAAATGATACCGTTCATGGACAAGGGAAAGTGCATCATTTACCCACCCTGTCATATCACTCTCCCTAACACCTCCCTCTCTCTCTCTCTCTTGTCCTTCCCGTCGCTCTCTCTAGAACTTTCTGAGCCAGATCAGTGCCTCTCTGAAATAAAAAAACTAGTGGACTTGTTACCGAAGCCCAACCGTGACACACTGCAGTACATCCTGGAGCATTTATGCAGGTCAGGAAGACTCAACAACCTGTTCATGCTGGGGAGGATGGAGTGGGTGTTCCTTAGGGACTGGCCAGGGAGCACGGAGAGGGGGGTGTTCCTCAGGGACTGACCAGGGAGCACGGAGAGGGGGGTGTTCCTCAGGGACTAACCAGGGAGCACGGAGAGGGGGGTGTTCCTCAGGGACTGACAAGGGAGCACGGAGATGGGGGTGTTCCTCAGGGACTGACCAGGGAGCACGGAAAGGGGGGTGTTCCTCAGGGACTGGCCAGGGAGCACAGAGAGGGGGGGGTGTTGCTCATGGACTAACAAGGGAGCACGGAGAGGGGGGTGTTCCTCAGGGACTAACAGGGGAGCTTGGAGAGGGGGGTGTTGCTTAGGGACTGATGGGGAGCACTAACATATCCTAGCCTTTGGCTAGCTCAGCATCAAATGAGCACCCAATAAAACCAGCGGTGCTGTGAGATTAGGGAATTCTGCTCTGTCCCTTCCCTGACTTTAGTCTCCCCCTAGGGCAGGGTGACTGAGCTGCTTTGGGGCACATTTGAATACAAGCCTCCCATGTTGTGAGCTTAAAGAATTTTGGGGTGTTCCCTGGAGCTGAGAACTAAGCAGTTCTACCCAACTTGTGCCTCCAAGTCGTATCCTGAAGGTTTCTCCACTGGCCCATCTCTGTTCCTCTGTACTTGGTTCCTTCAGCCAGCATGTGGAGAGATCCCAGCATGATCTCTGCTCTGCTCCATACCTACCTGATGGGGCTATACTGGCTTGTTGGGTACCTGTCGCCTACCTCCCCTGTCCTTGGCTTTGTCCCCAGGGTGATCGCACACTCAGATAAGAACCGAATGACCGCCCACAACCTGGGAATTGTGTTTGGACCAACGCTGTTCCGCCCTGAGCAAGAGCCCTCTGACATGACAGCCCACGTATTCTACCCTGGGCAATTGATCCAGCTGATGGTCAACAACTTTGCAAGCCTCTTCACCTGACTCGGGCAGGGAGGAGGAAGACATGGCCATTTGTCAGCTGGTCTTTGGAGAGGACATCCCGGAAGCTCTCTCCCGGAGGCTGCTCTTCCACTGGGCTGTCAGATGTGGGAGAAGAGGAAGGTGTGTGAGCCCCACTTCCAGTCTCCCCAAGATGACACATGGGGCTCTTACTCTCAGCCTTCCTTTATTGTCAGGAAACCTGTCGTTATTAAAGTGTTTTCCTGGAACACACAGAGACTAAATACAGCCCCCAGCCCAGTCCTGCCATCCCTGGGCACCTCATGTAGCCATCTAGGAAACACCGATGTGCTTGGGATGCCTTATCCTTCTAGGCACTGGAGTTGAGGAATTGTGTCTCTCCAGGCAGAGACCCCAGTAACACACTCATGTTACCCACTGCCATGTTGGGGGGCCCAGAGGGAGATGGGGTATTTTTAGAGCTGTCCCCTTGCTCATGGGAAGGAGGACTCAGCCCCTGGGCCTCATCCAGAATAGCCACGAAGTCCAGCTGAGTGCTGTCCAAGTCAAGAGAGTCCAGAGGGTTGGACACCTGTCCTTCTGGGGGAGGGTACAAGGCAGGACCTGCTCCCAACCTGCCCACTTCAGGATGGCCACAGCTGGGGTTGGTGCCCCCCACCTTGAGGGATCCATAGCAAGAGGGCAGTGGGGGCAGAAGCCGGGGTGGTGGTGCTGCTGCTGGCCTATGGGAAGGCCTGTTTACCCCAACTCCAAAAGTCTCATTGCATGGTGAGGGGGTAGGAAAGGAGCCTGGCTTGTGATTGGCCAGGGTAGGTGCAAAGCCTGATCCGTACATAGCTGCTGGCCCTTTGGCAGGGCTCTGATTAGCTTGGGAACCCCCCAGAAACTTGGAGCTCTGATATGGAAGTTCCTGGGTGGGGAGCCCTCCCCGGCCCTTGTCCTCCCACAACAGTTCCTGCTGCGACTGAACATAACTACACACAAGCTGAGCTTTGAGCTGTCCCGTGGGGTGAGAGAGGGAGCCAAGATCGAGGCCAGGCCTGTGTTCTGATGGAAGATAATCAGGGGGAGACCGAGGATAGGGACCCGACTGGGGATACTGGGGAGGAGGGGGTTGGGGATAATGGGAAAATGGAGGTTGTGAACCTGGGGACCCCCCACTGGGGTGGGCGTTGAGGCAGGGTACCAGTCCAGGGGAGTCAGACCCCACCGGGCACCCTTGTTCTGGTTTTACCTGCACTTGTCCATAATGTTCAAGTCGAGGAGGACACTGGCTATAGGCTTCATTTGGAGCCTTAGTGCCAGGGCACATTCCAGAATGGGAAGGGAACTCAGTCCATGATTCTGGGGTGGGGTCAGGATAGGAGGCCTGCTGATGACAGTGGCTAGGGCCATAGTTGGTCAGTGGACCTGGGCCCCTAGCTCCGTAGGGCTCAGCCGCCGTTCCCTCAGGTCCCCCATATCCCAGAGTATCTGTAGATGAAAAGTCCATGTATGGATTTAGACCATTGCCCATCATGGAAGTTCCAACTTCTGGCTCCTCCTGTAGCCCTCTGGTATCCATAGCAACATTTTCAGTGATGCTGGGGGGCTGTGGTGAATACACAGAGGTAGGGAGGTGGGGATCAAAGTTACGCCCAGTTGTTACACTAGGGGGCGTGTGGACACATCCCAAGCTCTTGAACCGCTGGACTCTGGCTGGAGCAGGATGGTCAGCAGCCCGGGCTGGGTCACTGGCTCTCCGGGTGACCCCTGCATTGGGGTTGTATCCTGGGTACTCAGCGCGGCTTCTCCAAGGAGGTCCAGAAAGACCTCCCATCCGATCCAGGCTGTGTGCTGCAGTAGGTGGGGTGCCACTCCCTCTGGCTGAAGCGTATCTTGCACGGAGCATGTAGTGCTGGGCAGGTGTGAGGCCAGGAAGGGACGACACGCCATTCTCCGGTGGGGATCCCGGTGGAAAAGGGGAGGCCAGGGAGGAGCGGCGGCTGACTGTGTAGGCAGAGCTGATGCTGCTGGAGCTGCTGCTGCGGTGGTCAAGGGAGCCTGGGGGGCCCAGCCGGCGACACGTGGGTGTGCCTGCAAATGACGAGAGAGAAGGCAGGTGGTAGGGAGCCCCGCGGTTCCCACCCTGTGTTCCCAAGGCTAGCCTTGACCTGGAACCCTCGGTAAAGAGTCCTAGGCTTCTTCGCCCCAATCACCTTGTCTGTCTCCATTCACCGCACTTACTCTGTGGCCAAGCGGTCCAGGCAGTGACAGGTTTGTGCACTGCTACACAGTGACAGGGATAGCACATCACAGAAGTATTGCTGCCCTAGGCTACAGATGTATAACCGCCACGCACAGATAGATATCATGATGTTCTGATCGATGGGAAAAAAGTATCTCCAAGGAAAGGAGTATTTTTTTTTTTGAGACAGGGTTTCTCTGTGTTACACCCTAGCTGTCCTGGAACTAGCTCTTGTAGACCAGGCTGGCCTCGAACTCACAGAGATCCGCCTGCCTCTGCCTCCTGAGTGCTGGGATTAAAGGTGTGCGCCGACACTGCCGGGCTTGGAAGGGGAGTATTCTTCAGACAATAAAAAGATGCCACATGCGAGACCAGCCTGGTCTACAAGAGCTAGTTCCAGGACAGGCTCTAAAACCACAGAGAAACCCTGTCTCGAAAAACAAAACAAAACAAACAAAAAAGATGCCACATGGCAACTCAAAGGATGACCTCATCACCTCAACTCAGGACAGGTCCCCAGCTCAGCAACACCTCTCACACCCAGGTCTCACCAGCATGGGTTAAGCTGGGCAGTTTGAGACCCCGGGATCCTATTGGCCGGAGCTGATGCAGCTGATCCAGCCTGAGGTTCTCCAGGCGGTGAAGAGTGGACAGTCCAGTGCCGGCAACAGAAGGCCCTTCATCCAGGCTGGACAGGTCCTCAGTGCTGCCCCCCGCAGTGCCGGTCATTTCCACACCGCTGTCAGTATTGGCTGCACTGCCTGCTGGGGAGTGGTCACTGCTGCAGGAGGACTGTGCTCCAGGGCTCTGCTGCGGTTTCTGTGAAGAGGCCAAGAGTGGAGGGTGGCACCCTCCCCCAGGGGAGTGGCTAAAGCCTACATCCCAGTGTTCGCAAGAGCTGAGGACTAAGCAGGCAAGAGGTTGGGGTGAACTAGAGGAAAAACGGGAAGGAACCCTACTGGGGTACAGACTCCCAGGGCTCCAGTCCAGCTTAGTCCTAGGACCCTGACAAATTATCTTTGCCTGTTTCCTCTTTTGAGGAATACACAAAATATTGCACACCTAAAGCTTGGAGCTAGGTAAGAGCTACTTAAGAGTGAGTCCACAGGGGGCTGAAGATTTGCTTCGTGGTGAAGCATTTGCCTACCGTTGTCCATATTCCCAGGAGCACCCCCTCCCGGCCCCAAAGTGAATGGATTGGACCAATTAGACAATGGACAATTCTAATGTCACCCTTAGATCTGGGGTCAGCCAGGGAGCAATACTAAAACTAGAGACAGGTAGGCTGGACGCAGAAGATTGCATGTAGGAAGGTATGCTTCTAGGGAGAGGTCGGCTAGGAAGGGGTCAGCACGTCATGATGGGATACGGAGGCAAGACTTCCGAGGCTGGCTCACCATGGCACCCTCGGGCACGGTCAGTCTGCTCTCTTCCCTTATGGGTCCTCCTTCCCTTTCCCGCTTGGGTTCCACTGTGGAAAGGGACGGTGCCCGTGGCAACGGGCCGTCCCCTCGATGCCGCTTGGTCACGTGGGCATCAGGACCATGCACTGTCTTGACGTGTTTGCGGAGTGAGCTGGGATCTGTGTAGCGCTTGGTGCAGCCAGGGAGCTTGCACACATATGGCTTCTGTGGAGTAGCGTTGCCAAGTCAAAGGCCAAGGGATCAAGGCAGAACACAAACAGAATGGGAAAAGCCACAAGGGGTGAGTGAGGGAGCACACACAGCCTTCGAGGAAGGAAGGGGAACGTGAGCCCTTGGTGAGAGGCTTCTAGAAGGATTAGAAAACAGATGGTGCGGGTACAAAAAAAGAAGTGACCACCTCCCCCATCCCCAAGGCTGTGAGGCCACACAAATTCAGAAGTTGAAGGGGTCAGGGGTCTACTTAACACGGACCCTTTGCCTGGCTAGACCAAAGAGAGTCATTTTTCAGAAGTGTTTCCTGTATGAATTACACAGCAAGGGGAACTCACGGCCGGAGTCCTGGGTTAGGGGGCTCTTTACGGGGGAAATACTTAGACGTGTCTCAAATGGGAAGCGTCTGGTAATCGGGCATTCACCTCATTGGAGTGCGTCCGATTCTGGTGCTTGGCGCGGTCGCTGGCGTTGCTGAAGGCCTTGCTGCAGCCTTCATGCTCACACATGTAAGGCTTCTCACCCGTGTGCGACCGAAGATGAGTCTTCAGGTTTTCAAGACGTGAGTACGACTTCCGACACCCTTCAAACTGAAAGGGGTCAAGCCACATTTCTCAGACAGGACACGGAAATTTTATGATTTAAACTAAAACTGGCGGGTCATGAGGAGCCAAGAGAATACCAGGATTCGGACACAAGGGCAGGTGGGATCTAAAGGCAGAGAAAGCTGGAGACCGCTCAGGGTAGGGGGCACGGTGAAGTAGGGAGCATCTTGAGCAGGTGTCCTGGCATAGAGCTTAGACTGTAGAGAGGCGTCAGGAGTGTCCTTCAGCAACCATAGGAAATGCAGTAGCAAGAATACTAAGGAAGCCAGGTGGTGATGGTGCACACCTTTAATCCCAGCACTCGGGAAGCAAAGGCAGGTGGATCTCTGTGAGTTCGAGGCCAGCCTGATCTACAAAAGCTAGTACCAGGATAGGCTCCAAAGCTACAGAGAAACCCTGTCTTGAAATACAAAAACAAAAAAAGGAATACTAAGGGACCCACAAGGGATTCATAAAAAAGTTTTCATTTATTATTATTTTGGTTTTTCAAGACTGGGTTTCTCTGTGTAGAACTCACTCTGTAGACCAGGCTGGCCTTGAACTCAGAGATCCGCCTGCCTCTGCCATCTGAGTGGCGGGGATTAAAGGCTTGTGTCACTATGCCTGGCTATTAGTTTGGTTTTCTGAGACAGAGTCTCACTGTGTAGTCTTGGCTGACCTTGAACTCACTATGCACACCAAACTAGTCTCAAAATGATAGAGATCTGCTTGTCTTTGCCTTCCTAGGACTGAAATTAAAGGCATGTACCACCATGTCCAGCATGTTTCATTTCTTTTAAAATCAAAAGGGAAAAATATATTTTTGATCCAAAACTTAATTTTGCTATGTTTTTGTTTGCTATTTATTTGTTTATTTATGAGATAGAATATTACTGTGTCACCCTGACTAGCCTGGAACTCCTCACATAGACCAAATTGGCCTTGAATTCAGAGAGATCTGCTTGCCTTTGCCGCCTGGCTTATTTTTGTTCTTCGGGTTTTTTGTTTGTTTTTCCTTTTTTTGAGACCTAGTCTTAAACTCTAGATTCTCTTGCCTCAGCTTCCTAAGTGCTAGTGTTACAGATATGTAACATACCATACCAAGAAGATATTTTAGGGCCAGCAAGATGGCTCAGTGATTAGAGGTGTCTGTGGCCAAGGTTGAAAACCTGAGTTTGATTCCCCAGGACCCACATGGTGGAAGATGAGAACTGAGTCCCGCAAGCTGCCTGCTGACCTCCATATATGCACTTTGGAATACAAGCCCCCACCCCATAAAATGCCACCGGAAACATCGTAATATATATCACTATGCCTATCTTTCTATCAGTACAGTCTTCAGGAAGATTTTAAACATTTGCTTACAAAGGAAGGGGCACTGAAGGAACGAGTCTACCTTGGACCCTCATATGGGCGCCTCACCGTGCATTTGTGCGGCTTCTCGCCCGTGTGTCTGCGCATGTGCACCACCAGCATGTATTGCGCTTTGAAAGGCCTCAGCTCCCTGGAGCAGCCCCCCCAGTGGCACACGAACTCCTTCCGCTCCCCATGGATGTGTTCGCTGTTGATATGCTGAGGAGGAAGAAGACGAGGCTTTCCGGGGTTCCCAATGTCACCCAAACCCAGCCCCCTACTCAAAGGGTCACATATCCCACACCCTACGTTTTCTAGAGCAGAGAGTAACCGAGCTTTGGTTCTGAGGGACTGAGCATGCAATCTCTGACCCCGGTACCCTTGAACGTCCTGCCCTGGGGCAGACCATAAAGCCCACTCAGTCTCCCACCAACCATCTGCTACTCCCTGGGGCTCACATGCACCAGCTGCTCCTGGGAATCAAACTCCTGGCTGCAGCCATCCCAGCGGCAATCAGTCTCATACACGGACTCAGGCTCAGGTTTCTCCTCCAGGTCCTCCCGCCCATCCAGCATCCCCAGCAGGGGATCCTAGGGCCAGGGAGACACTCTTAGGGTCATTGGTGGCAAGTTTTGTTTTGCTCAGGCCCCACAAAGAAAGCCCCACCCTTCCTCTTACCTGTGTGCCCGTGGAGTTGGGGCTGGACATGTCACCTTCCAGAGGCTCCTCTGGGCACTTGCCCACCAGCATGTCCAGCTCTGACTTCAGCTTCCCCGGGGGAAGAGGTGAGGGTAATGAGGATGGAGTAGTCAGAAGGAAAAGCTTGCCGGTCCTTCTGCCCTACAGGCCCCCACCCAAATAGCAGGACCCCTGTGAGTGAGGAAGGGCTTCCTCCACAGCCTGCACTGCTGAGTGGGATGGACAGGAGGTGTGCTCTCATCTGGGAGGGCCTGAGTCAGCCCCGCAGGGTGAACCTACCATCTACACCTGCCCCGCTGCTAAGCCTACCACCCACCTATCCTGAGCTGGGAAGCCAAATATGAGGGCATTGTGGAGAGCCCCACCTGGCAGGTCGGACGTGGTCCTCGGGACTGAGGACGCAGCATCATCGCACCCCGAGTGGAATCATGTGGAACACAGGGCTGGACACCGTAGGAAGGCGAAGTCCCTTTTTGGTGGCTCATCTGGGGTGGGAATCCTAGAGATGGGCTAGGTGAAGAGGAGGCTGTTATTTAAGACTATCAGTCACGAGAGTCCTTGCTCTATTTTGTGAGTTTCGGGAAGGCGTGGTTTAATAAGCCCCAGGGGGGTCTCTGAAAAGGGTCCAGTGCTTTGGGAAGGGTGGGGATTCAAGTTGGGGTGGAGGTTTGAAGGGTCTGAGTTCTCTAATGGGTTTCAGTACATATTGTAGGGGCCTCTTAGTTCGAGGCTGCCAGCACCTCATGGTGCCAATGGAGAGGTGGCCATAGGAACCTCCAGGAGATGTGCAGCGTGAGTTGATGAATGCCACAAGGGAGCTGGGCGAGGTACGGATAACTGTTTGTAGATCCAGGCTGGCGTCAGACAGAGGTGAGAGGGAGAGTGCCCGCTTCTTTGTCAGTTTGACTGAACTCCGGGAAGGAGGAAAGAGTGGCCCTATGGCAGGAGACAGGAGTCAGGAACAGCAAAGGGGACTGGAGAGATGGCTAGTAGTTAAGAGCACTTGCTGTGGCCGGGCGGTGGTGGCACACGCCTTTAATCCCAGCACTTGGGAGGCAGAGGCAAGTGGATCTCTGTGAGTTCGAGGCCAGCCTGGTCTACAGAGCTAGTTCCAGGACAGGCTTCAAAGCTATAGAGAAACCCTGTCTCAAAAAACAAAACAAAACAAAAAAAGCACTTGCTGTTCTTCTAAAGGACTTGAGTGCGGTTTCCAGCACCCACATCAGGTGGCTCACAACCACTACCTATAACTCCAGCTCCAAGGATGTCCCACACCTTTGGCCTGCCAGGGCACCAGCATGCACACGTGCACACCCACACAGACACAAACACATACACTGCTTAAAAAAATAAAATTTAAAAAGAAAAGATACGGTAAAGGTACATGTCTCTGTGCACTCAGTGTGGGTAGGGTCTGACTTAAGAAAAGCAAAATGTTTTTTTTTTTTTTCTTGCTCTTAGGACCTCTTGATTGTTCTCTGATCCCTTTCATCTCTGGACATCTCTTCCACTGAGTTGGGTCCTTGCCTTCCCACTTCCTCCTTCAGAACCAGTGGGGGGGGGGAAGGGAGGGAGTTCCTGAGTCCTCACCCTCAGTACAGCCGCTGGTCTCTCTGGCAGACCCATAACCCTGGGGCCCTGACATAAAGTTGGCTTGGTGGCAAAAGGGCAAACCAGAAAATCCTAGAAAAGAGAGACAGCTGGACTGGGGCATTTGGATGGGGAGATACAGGGCTTACCTCGAGACCCCACGTACGGTACGATCCTAGACTCAAAGCATACATGGCATGGGGTCTCAAAATCCTCCTGTAGATAAGAAACTAGCGTGGGGGTAGGGATGAGTTGGAGAGGGATCCCAGGAGTAGGTGAGAGATCTGCCAAGTCCTCAAGCCCCAGGGACTGCTAAACACACTCACCTTCTGTCCCCATGCTGGGGACCCCTTGGCTGGGGAGGGGTCGGAGACAGCATGGCTCACCATAGCTATTGACTTGGGGTGGAGTCATGGAGTTGAACATGGTGTCTCGGGGAAGAACGAGGGGCACTGTAGGAAGGAGGAGTGCAGATTTGCCAAGTCATAAAGAGGATGAGAAACAAGAATGGCAATCTCAGGCACAAGACCGTGGCCAGCAGGCGCCTTGTGCCCCTAACTTCCCTGAGAATGGTCATGGAAATCAAGTTGAAAATAATACCGTTCAACAGCGTTAAGAAGAAACCTCCCACAGAGCAAGAAGTCTGTAAGTCTGGGGGATCTTTTGGGGGAACTGGGTAAGTGTCTGTGTATGCACATGGGGAAAGTATGGACTAATGGATCCAACATAAACTCCAGGCGATTTTAATGTCATGATCCCTCCACTGCTTCTCGTTCTGGTCATGGCCAGCTTTGAAGAGTGTGTTGGAGAAACACTGACTTCATGCCAGGGACAGCTTGCTCGCTATGTCTGAGCGCCAGCCCAAGAAGGCATGCATATGCAATCTCCCCCGTGTCCAGTAGAGGGAGACCTCGCTTCAGTCCAGATTGGCTGGTGGGGCCAGAAGAGAACATAAATGATCTGTCCTCTTAGACAGAGAAATGTGTGGGAGGGAATCAGGCTTAGGAGCAGAGTGTCTCCCGTCTGTTGAGTAAAAAGGATGGAAGCTAAAGTCATTCTGAGGCGGCTTGAATCTGGGCCTACTTAACCCTTCTGGTCGAGGGGAACTGGAAAGGAACTTTGAGGAAGGGCTTAATGAGGACGAGAAAACAAAACTCCTCTAATTAGGAAGGAGCGGGAGAGCAAAGAGATGGTGCGAGGTCCGGTTTTCCTTCTCGCAACCAGTTTTCATTCCACTCCACGTTTTTCGGTCTTCCGGGAGCGGAGGGTGGGGTGGGGCGGGGTGGGGTGGAGAACCACCGGGAGCGGGCCGGCCGGCGCGGTGGGTGATCCCGGGATGCTGGGATTTAGGGTGAGGGCGGGGCAAAATGGAGAACGGAACCCTACGGCCCAGCCCAAGAGCTGTAGCCGGGGTTGTACCTATGCTAACTCCTCCTTTTTCAGCTGAGTCCCGGATCCCGCATCCAAGACCTCCCAACTCGACCTTGGCACTAACGTTGGGGGTGGGGGGCACAGCTGGCTGGCAGCTGGATGAGGGGCATGTCTTCTGCCTCCTCTGCTATGACTCATTCAAGGGAAGGGGGAGGACTTGCAAACGACCCCCAGACGCTAGATGCTCCCTCAAAGATGTCACTCTTATCTTCCTGTCCCATTGCCTGACTACCCCAGGAGACCCGATGAAAATGGGGCGACAGCCCTCTTCTCCCACGCGTGCCACAGCCTACACTCACGCCTCCCTCTTCATACTAGTAAATATGTCGCTAGCTAGCTTTTCCAGTTTCAGTGAAGGTTTTCTGGGCGGAATGGGGCAGAGCGCACTCAGAGTGACCCTGCCAGAGACCCGAATCATCTTCAGTGTCTATTTTCCAGAGTCCTGTACGTACCCCTTCTCCCCAACTCCCAGGAGTCGGCCCCACCCCCTTCTCCCGGTCCCGCCTTCCCCGCCCCCGTGCCTTCTCGGCCCACCCAAGTCGCCGCCGCAGGCTCCGGCTGCAGACGGCTCAGCTTCCCCCGCCCGCCTGGGGAGCCCAGAAAAGCGGGGGGGGGGGGTGATGGGTGGAACATTCTTCCCTTCTCTCAGCGCATCCTGAAAGCAGGCAGTGGAGCGCGCGGGGGGGGGTCACTATTGGAAAGTGGGGTCCCTATAGTGGAGTGGGAAAGAAGAAACCAACCAGACACGACAGAGAGAAGGACCTGGGTAGATAAGGTGTGCACGGGAGGACACCTTGGATTCCAGAGTATCTCAGCTGGCTTCCTAAGGGTTAACCCCTATAGACCCCCGGGAACCCCCTAGTGACGTCAAGGGCGAGTCGGAGACGTCCGTCCGGCGGGGATGCCCAGAGAGATAATGGGGGGGGGTCCTTCTGAACCCCGCCCCCTAGAGAAAAATCACTCGCGTTCTCAAGAACTTTTCTCCCAGAAAACTGCCCATCTTTCTCCCTGCACTGCAAGGAAAGACCTAAACCATAAAGTCCTCGGTTCTCCAAAACCCTCGGCCTCTATGGAGTTCCCTTTCCTTGATCCCGTCCCCAAAGCTAACTGTCCTGGGTTGATTGTTTCAGGGTCATGGGGCCTGAAAGAGGATTCAGAGCGGGGAGCAAGGGCAGGCAGGGTGGTCTAAGCCAGAGGAGGGGCCTCGGTCCCCAGCTCCCGTTTGGGCGGGGGGCCAACCGGGATACACAAGCTGGCAGTGGCCAGTGGTCCCGCTCTGCCCCAGTAGGGGTCTCCTGGCGTCTGGCTTCAGCTGCCCCGGTGGTCCTGAGGTCAGAGGGTCAAGACAAGGTCTCCCCAGCTCTTGCCCAGGGCCCTGCCCACAGTCCTTCAGACTAAAACACAAATTTCCTAGGGATTTTTCTAAGGCCTACACTACACGTTTGAAAACCCACCCAGCTTTCTTCCTACTCCTTTGCCCCCAAACCCAAGCTTCTACCGGGACATCTGTCACAACACAGGTCAAGAGTCCAATCCCAGCCCGGGCCTCAGTGATTTTGTTGCCTCAAACACTCCTATTCCCACCACATTGAGCGCTCCCTCCTTTTGCGGTGTTCCCTCTTAGGAACACTGACGTCTTTCCAACGGCGCTCAGAGACGCACCTGGAGTTCCGTCTACCACGCAGACCTCCAGCTGGCCGTCCCAACAGCCTCTTCATGCCAACCTCAAGAAAGGGAGATATTTCTAATATGTGGGAGAGTACAAAGAGACCCAAGACAGACAGACTGCCGGAAGAAAAAGGAGATACGGAGAAAAGGAGGCACAAATTAAAGCTAAACAAGAAAAACATCCAAACTTCCTAATGGCTCACCCCAATCTCGCCCACCCCATATTGTCTCTGCGCCCCAGGTCTCCTTGTGGGATAGGGTGAGTCCCTAGGCATCAGAGCATCTCCTCAGTCCCCTCCCCCACTGCTCCCAGGTGGTCTCCCCTCTTGCCCCCCTCTCACCTCCGTCGGGGCGCAGGGCTCGGGATGCGTGGTCCAGGGTTGGAAACTGGGCTGGGGGGTGTGCGGCGGGGAGGGGGGCGACAGGGCCACTGCAGCGCAGCTTCAGTGCCACCCCACCCCCCCAACCTGGCCCCCAGCCCTCCCGCCGGCCCAGCCCGCCGGGCTGCGAGCCGGGACCACCCGCGAGAAGCGCAAACTTTTTTTTTTCCTTTTGCAAAAACTTTTTCTCGCTCTTGCCACTGGCGCACGGCCGCTCTTCCCGCTCACTTCCCTCCAATATCCTTCCTTCAGGCCGTTCTAGAAGATGAAGTGGGGTGGCTGGAAGTTAGAGAGGGGGTGCCGGGCTTATGGCACCCCCAGGACCCCCAGGATCCTCCCCCTCCCTTGAGGGACCCTATACTGCCTACTACCCCCCCTCCCGAACACGCTGCTCTTGGTGGGCAGTAAATCCCGGCGCGGATTCATGGATCGGCTGTCCACGAAGAGGACCTGAATCAGAGCCAGGAAAACATTGAGGAAAATATTGCGAGGCAGGAGAGGACGGTGGGGGAGCGGGGAGGGGGAGGGGGAAGCTCACCCCAGAAAGTTAACTTTGAAGGTACGGCCGATGGCTTTCGTTGGTCTTAATTGGGCATTCTCCATGCTGTGGTCTATAGGCCAGTCTCACTCTTAGATTGGAACGTGGAGGATTTGGGAGGGTTGGGGTTTGGGCAAAAGGAGTTGGGTTGGCTGTGGTAGAAAGTTTTGGGGGTGCGTCCTAAGGAACATGAAAGAGGAACATGGGCTTAAGTTCTAAGTGCCAGGTGTGTGTTCACAGATCACTGAAGTGTCCTCTGTCTTAGTACCTCTCCAGAGAACCTTCGTTCTCCATCTCCAAATTCTAGAGACTGCTGCCACCTCTACACCGCTCGCTTTAAGGCTCTTGCGCCCTCTGCTGGTCGGCTTCGCACATGTCACTCCTATGTGCCGAGTCTAGTTGGTCGCACCGGCGAATTTAAGGAAATTTGACAGATTCCCGTCAGCAAGGCCCAAGGTAGGAGCCCAGGGAGGGAGCTGCGTGAGTCTGAAGAAACAGACGGGCACACCAGGGGAGACTGCTCGTCCCTCGAGGTGGTGCTTGACGGGGGAGTAGCCTGTCTCTTTGTATTTGTGTTGTAGTGGCGACTGGACACTGGGCAGAGGGCAGCTAGTTCCGTTTCCCACCGGGGAGAGAAGTCAAGGCTTGGTGTCTTGAAAGCAGTCCGTGCCCTAGCGCTGCTCTAAGCCACCTTCTTGGGCCTGCAAAGTATGTTTTTTAAAAAAGCAACAACAAAACGAAAACGAGGTGAAGCGAGGGACGGGTCTGAGACCTTACAAAGGCCAGTAGCAATTGTGGGGGTAGGAACAGATAAAGAGTCAACCTGCCGCTCCACATAACCGACAGGTTCCATCTGTAGAAGATACAAGGGAGCCAACGTCAGGCCGGACCAGTGACCACAGAGAAAGAAAGAGCGCTGCATATGTCATGTGACCCACCTTCCACGCCTGGACAATTATGGGGCCTTCTGAATTCTGTGGGAAGGGAATTGTTTTTCGTGTTTTGGAGTCAGGTCAGCTCTGTACCTCAGGCTGACCTCCGACTCCTGGTGTCTCTGCCTCACCTTCCTAAGTGCTGGGATGACAAGCACAAATCAACATATGGGGGGCCTGACTGCTCCTGTGTGTCAACTTGATGCAAGCTAGCATCATCAGAGAGGAAGGAGCCTCCGCTGAGGAGCTGAGGAAGTATCTCCATGAGATCCAGCTGTAAGGGATTTTTTCAATTAGTGATAAAACAGGGGAGGACCCAGTCCATGGTGGGTGGTGCTGTCCCTGGGCTGGTGGTCCTGGGTTCAATAAGAAAGCAGGCTGAGCAGGCCATGTGAAACAAGCCAGTAAGCAGCACCCCTCCATGGCCTCTGCGTCAGCTCCTGCCTCCAGGATCTTGCTCTGTTTGAGTTCCTGTCCTGACTTCCTTCAGTGATGAACACTGATGTGGAAGTGTAAGCCAAACAAGCCCTTTTCCCCAGCCTGCTTTATGGTCATGGTGTTTTGCCACAGCTATAGAAACCTTAACTAAGACACCCAGTTTCTCCTAGATTTATTTTTTATTTTTTTATTTATTTAATTTTTTATATTAGCTTTTTAATGTTTATTTATTTAATGTATATGAGTGTTTTGCCTGTATGTATACTGCATATATATGTATGTGTATATATATATGTATGTATTTACTCCATGCGTTTACTCCATGGTGCCTGAGGTGTTCAGACGAGAAAGTCAGATCCTCTGTGGGTGCTGGGACTTGAACTCAGGTCCTCTGGAAGAAGAGTCGGTGGTCTCAAACACTGAAACATTGCTCTATCCCTGATGATTGGTTGATTGATTGATTGATTGATTGATTTTGAGACAGAGTCCCTCCATTTTAGCCCTGGCTGTCCTGGAACTCACTCTGTAGTCCAGGCTGGCCTTGAACTCACAGAGATCCCCCATCTCGGTCTCCTGAGTGCTGGGATTAAAAGCATGTGCTACCATGCCCAGCTTTCTACCTTATTTTAAAATTTTACTTATTTTTGCATTTTGATTTATTTTGTGTGCCTGTAGCAGAGGGTACATCTGAGTGTTGTCTTAGTCGTTATTCTTTTGCTGTGAAGAGACACTGTGACTGCGCTGTAACTCCTATGAGAGAAAGCATTTCATTGGGGCTGGCTTACAGTTTTAGAGGCTTAATCCATTATCATCTTGGCAGGGAGCATGGTGGCAGGAAGATGCTGGGGAAGTAGCTGAGGGGCTACATCCTGATCCTCTGGGAGAGACACTGGGCTTGGAATGGGCTTTTGAAAACTCAAAGCCCACTCCCAGTGACATACTTCCAGCAAGGCCACACCTCCTCATCCTTACAATCCTTTCAAATAGACCAGGCATTCAAATAGTACCACGTGGGTGACCAGGCACTCAAATATGGCCTGTGGGAGCCATTCTTACTCCAACCACCACAGATGCCATAGTGTGTGGAGGCCAGGGGACAACTTGGAGGAATCAGTTCTCTCAGATATGTTACTGTCTGTCACTCTGGTAACATGACAAAGGCGACTTACAATAGAAAGTGTTTATTTGGGGCTTAAAGTTTCAGAGAATCCGTCCAGGACCGTCCTGGTGAGGAGTACGGCACCGAGCAGGCAGGCATGAAGCCGGAGCGGTCACTGAGAGCTTACATCTCATGATACAGCCACCTGGGACGGCAATGCCATGCACTTCTGAAACCTCAAAGCCCCGGAGACACATCTCCTTCCACAAGGACACTGTTGTGTGATGTTTGTTCCCACAGACACTCCAAGGCTTCTGATAAAGTTAAACCTTGAATCAGAGGGAAGAGTCAGTGATTGACTGGAATTAGCCATAGATATGTTGGAGGACTGAGGGAGCCAGATAGAGAGGTTTGGGAAGAGATTAAGCAGGGCTTGGGGAGATTTCTCGGGCTTTTTGATCTGGAAAACATAGAGTAGGGTCAGCTAATTTTTCCTCCGCTGTTCTTTGGATTTATCAGATTTTTATCTCAATTTTTGACTCCTTTTTTTATGATTTATCTTTATTTTATGTGCATTGGTGTGAAGGTGTCAGATTCCCTGGAACTGGATTTTCAGACCGTTGTGAGCTGCCATGTGGGTGCTGGGAATTGAACCTGGGTCCTCTAGAAGAGCAGTCAGTGCTCTTAACTGCTGAGCCATTTTTTTTATTACTAATACTAGAACAGTTAAGGTAAATGTATTAGGACACACCTTCTAATCTTTCCCAAACAGTTCTACCAACTGGGACCAACTATTGAAATAGATGAGTCTTTGGGGGCATCTCATTCAAGCCACCACTGCAGCTGGCGGGAGTTGATTCTCTCCGTCCTCCATGGGTTTGGCCAGGTACTCAGGCCTGGCAGCAGTTGCCTTTCCCCGCAGAGTCATGGCATCTGCTCTCCACCTTTCTTTGGGATTGGTTTTTTGGTTTTGTTCTTTATTTTTTGGAGACTGCTTTCTCTGTGTAGCCCTGGCAGTCCTGGATCTCATTCTGTAGACCAGGCTGACCTCAAACTCAGCGATCCACCTACCTCTGTCTCCTGAGTGCTAGGACCAAAGGTCTGTAATGCATTAATTCAGATCATCTCCTCCCCAGCACTGGGGTTCACAGACATCCCTGCCCTGCGATTTTATGCTGGTACTGAGGAACCCAAGACAAATTCTATTTGGTAACACGAATTCTAATTATTCCTGATAACAATACGGAGTCAGATATTAGGGGTGAAAGCTGAGAGATCAAAGAAGAAGTGCAAACAGCCACTAAAGAGATCTTTCACCTCTACCAAATCCTCAGACCAGAAGAGTGATCCTGTCCTTAGACTGCGTCCTGTTACTGGCTGCTTCAGGCTGCACCTCAGACTGCATCTGAGCTCCTGTCTTTTCCCACCTTATATTCCTCTCTCTGCCCAGCCACATCCCTTCCTGTCTCCACCTCTCTAGTGGTGGTATTAAAGGCATGGAACTCCCAAATCCTGGGATTAAAGGTGTGAGCCACCACTGCCTAGCCTCTAGTGGTATAACTCTGCACGCTGATCTTCAGGCAAGCTTCATCTGTTACAACACAAACAAAATGTCACCACATGGTCTTGTGTGGCAGATGCTTACCCAGTGACTGTGCCCCCAGCCTCTCCTTAACTGCAGTCATTTTAGATTTATCTGTTTGATTTTATGTGCATGAGTGTTTTGCCTGCATGCACAAATGTGCACTGTGTGCATGCCTGGTGCCTGTGGAGGTCAGAAGAGGGCACCAGGCGCCCTTGCGCTGGACTTATTGATAGCTGAGCCAAGCCCTGTCCTCTGTGGGCTCTTTTTAAATTAATTAATTAATTTATTGGTTTCTTTTTTTTTTCAATGATTTCTTTTTTTTTTTGTTTTTGTTTTTGTTTTTCGAGACAGGGTTTCTCTGTGGCTTTGGAGCCTGTCCAGGAACTAGCTTTTGTAGACCAGGCTGGTCTCGAACTCACAGAGATCCGCCTGCCTCTGCCTCCCGAGTGCTGGGATTAAAGGCGTGCGCCACCACCGCCCGAATTTATTGGTTTCTTGAGACAGGGTTTCTCTGTGTAACAGTCCTGGCTGGCCTGGAACTCACTCTGTAGCTGAGGCTATCCAACTTTTTGTTTTTCATTGTGGGGTATGTGTATGCGAGCGCAGGCACCCATGAAGGTCAGAGGCATTCAATCCTCTGGAATTACAGGTAGCTGTGAGCCACCTGACGTGGGTACTGGGAATTGGAATCAGGTACTCTTAACTACTGAACCCCCCTCCCCCCCCAGTAC